GCTGACTACTCCTTTTTTTTGTGTGTCTGCTTCCTTTTTTTTTCCCCCTATGGCTTTTAGGTAAGCCATTAAGTTGTTTGAATGAGCTGTCTCAAATTTCTTCTTGAAGGCACTTAGTGCTATGAACTTTCTTCTTAGCATTGCTTTCATTGTGGTCCATAAGTTTGGTATGTTTTGTCTTCATTTTCATTGAATTCTAGGATGACTTTAGTTTCTTTCTTTATTTCTTCCCTGACCCAACTGTCATTTAGTAGTAAGTTGTTCAGTTTCCATGTGTGTGTAGGCTTTTTGCTATTTCTGTTGTTGTTGAGGTCCAGCTTTAGTCCATGGTGATCAGATAGGATATAAGGGATTATTTCAATCTTCTTGTATCTGTTGAGGCTTGCTTTGTGACCAACCAAATGGTCTATTTTGGAGAAGTTCCATGAGGTGCAGAGAAGAAGGTAAATTCTTTTTTGTTTGGGTGTAAGGTTCTGTAGATGTCTGTTAGGTCCATTTGATTCATGACCTCTGTCAGAGTCTTTGTTTCTTTGTTTAATTTCTGTTTTGTTGACCTATACTTTGTTGAGAGTGGGGTGTTGAAGTCTCCCACTATTACTGTGTGGGGATCTATGTGTGGTTTAAGTTTTATTAACGTTTCTTTTACAAATGTGAGTGCCTTTGTATTTGGGGCATAGATATTAAGGATTGTGATGTCTTCCTGATGGAATTTTCCCTTGATGAGTATGAAGTGTCCTTCCCTATCTCTTTTTATTAATTTTGGTTGAAAGTCAGATATTAGAATAGCTACTCCTGTTTACTTCTTGGGTCCATTTGCTTGGACCTTTTACCCTTCCAGCCCTTTACCCTCAGGTAATGTCTATCTTTGTGCCTTAAGTGTGTTTCTTGTATGCAACAGATTTTTGGGTCTTGTTTTACACATCCATTCTGTTAGTCTGTGTTTTTTTGTATTGTTTTGTTTTGTTGGAGAATTGAGTCCATTGATGTTGAGAGAGATTAATGACCAGTGGCTGTTAGATCCTTTGATTTTGATGTTGGCTGTGGTAGTAATTTTGTGTGCTTGGTTGCTTTTTGTTTTACTATAGTGAGGTTAATTATTTCCTGTGTTTTCTTGAAAGTAGTTAATTTTCTTGGGTTGTATTTTTCCTTCTAGTGTCTTCTGTGACGCTGGATTTGTTTGTAGGTATTGTTGAAATTTGTTTTGTCGTTGAATATCTTGTTTTCTCCATCTATGAGGACCAAGAGTTTTGCTGAGTATAGTAGCCTGGTCTGACATCTGTGTTCTCTTAGGGCCTGCATGATATCCTTCGTGCTTTCATAGTCTCTGTTGAGAAGTCAGGTGTGATTCTGATGGGTTTGCCATTATATGTTACTTGGCCTTTTTCCCTTGCATCTTTTAGTATTTTTTCTTTGTTCTGTATGCTTACTGTTTTGATTATTATGTGAAGGGAGGATTTTCTTTTCTGATCTAATTTATTGGATGTTCTGTATGTCTCTTGTATTCTTATAGGCCTCTCCTTTAAGTTGGTGAAATTTTCTTCAATGATTTTGTTAAAAATATTTTCTGTGCCTTCGAGGAGGGAATCTTCTTTTTCCTCTATTCCTATTATTCTTAGGTTTTGTCTTTTCATGTTGTCTTGGATTTCTTGTGCAGTCTGTGTCAGAAATTTTTTTAGATTTAACATTTTCTTTGATGCATACATAGATTTCTTCGATTGTATCTTCTACACCTGAGATTCTTTCTTCCATCTCTTGTAGTCTATTGGTTATGCTTACCTCTGTATTTCCTGTTTTCTTCCCTAAGTTCTTTCTCTCCACAATTTCCTCCATTTGTGTTTTCTTTAATTTTTCCAATTCTTTCTTCAGATCTTGAGCCGTTTTGTTGATTTCCTTCACCTGTCTGATTGTATTTTCCTGTTTTTCCTTCAATTCCTTTAGCTGTTTGTCTGAACAATTCTCTGTTGGTTTATTTTATTTTATTATTTTTTACTTCTTTCAGTGATTTAAGTACTTCCTTTCTAAAGGCCACAAACTGTTTGGCTGCAACTACCTGTATTTCTTTGCGGATGGCAATACTCTTTTTTGTCTTTATCTTCCTCTGTTTCTTTTCGGATGGCCATATTCTGTTTGTCTTTATCTTCCTCTAGTTCTTAATGCATTTTATTTGTTTCCTCTATTATCCTTTTCACAAGCATAGATGTTAGATCTTCTTCTTGAATTTCAATTATGCTGAGGTGTTCAGGGTGCTTGCCCCTGGATAACTGGGTTCTGAAGATGCCATATTGCTGTATTTTGTTGGTTGAGCTTTTATGCTGGCCTCTAGCCATTGGGCTATCTTAGGTGTTAGGTGTTAGGTGTTAGTTTCTGGTGGTTCCTGGAATCCTGTGGTGGAGAGAATCCCCTTGGCAGGAAGGTGATTTTTCTTGAAGGACGCCTCCTCAGCTTTTTGGGTATTGTCACTGAATGGCCGGTGTTTTTCAGGAATTGCCACAGCTCACCTCAGGCGTACAGACCTGAGTGGTAACTGTGGTCCTTGTTAGTCAAGAGGGCTCTCCTCTCACCCGGAAAAGTCCTGGAGACAGCTGCCCTGCTTCTGGGTTACCTGCTGTAAATTTAGTGATCTGCTGTAACCTGTGTGCTCCTTGGTTTGGTCAGTTTTGTTAGGGATAACTGGCTGTCCCTTGGAGCAGTATCTGGAGGTTGATCTCGTGGATCCCAGTTTTCTGTAGGTCTGAGGTTGGGGCTCTGTGCCGCTGTACCCAAGTGGTATTCAGTGGCAGCTGAGCTATGCTCTTGTGTGTGCAGCTGGAAGCTAGAGTCAGGAGCCTGTGGATAGCCAGAATTTTTTTCAGAGCTAGGTGTCCTGAGGTAGGGCCAGACCTTTCCCCCACCATGGGGTTTTCTCCCAACAGGAAGGTCCAGTCTGTTGTGTTTGAGGTGGCACGTAGAGCACACAGGTGGTGGGTGGTGGCTCCAAGCTGGTGACTGGGCAGGAGTCTGAGACCTTTTCCCAGGAACTTTCCCATGTGTGCCGGGGGGGGGGGGACCGGCTGAGTGCTCTAAGCTGTTTCCCTCCCTATGAGGTGTTCTCCTGACAGGAAGTCCCAGTCTCTGGTGTCCCAGGGCACACAGTTCTGTCTGTGACAGATAGTCAGGCACACAGCAGTTCTCTGGGCTGGCGTCCTGTGCCTTCTGGTCTGTGGTACCTTTTCCAGGGATATACTGGGTGACTTGAGGTCAGTCCCTGTTTTCTTCCTTCCCTGTGGGGTTTTCTTCTGACAGGGAAACCCAGCCTCTGATGCCCTGGGGCACACAGATCTGTCTGTGATGTACAGTTGGGTGCATAGCAAGTCTCTGTGCTGGTGACTGGAGCCCAGTTCAGAGGTCACGGTGTGAGCTCGCCATTCTGTGGGATCTTTTCCAGGGATAGACTGGTTGACCTGAGGTCAATCCAGTTTCCTTCCTTCCCTGTGGGTTTTTCTTTCCACTGGGAATCCCAGTCTCTGGTGTTTTTGTGCTCACCATTCAGCCTGAGAAGGTGATCAGGATACGCAGGCTTGTGGCTCTGGTCTGGTGACCTAGTGCCTGTGTGACCAGGGATCTTATCCGGGTTCTGACTGGGTGACCTGAGAGTGGACCCGCCTGATTCCCACACCGTGGAGTTTCCTCTCACCTGGTAAACACAATAGCTGGTGTTTTAAGGCCCAGAGTTCAGTCTCTTGGTTGCTCTGCCAACATTGCTGTCCTGCTCCTCAAAAGCAGTGTCCTCCCTCTGCTCAGATGAAGCCCGTGGTAGCTCAGTAACCAGTTGGTTTCCCATAGTGAGGGGAACAGGGACTATCTCTGACAGGATCTCAATGGCAGGCTCTTTGGTCTCCCCACCCCCCCCCAAGGTAGGAGCAGTCCTGTTAGGCCACAGAGGAGGACTTTGCAGCCAATCCTGAGGATACCTGCTAAAACAGGATCAGATGAAAGGGGAGGAGGTCCTCCCCAATCAGTGGACTTGGAAGGGGGCAGGGAGGAGTTGAGGGAGGAAGGAAGGGAGGGAGGGTTTGGGAAGGAATGAGGCACTGGGATACAGCTGGGATACAGTGTTAATAAAATGTAACTACTACTAATAATAAAGAATGTTAAAAAATTTAAATTTAAATTAAAAAAAAGCAGTGTCCTGGAGCCGCCATCTTGGATCCTCTGGCTCATAAGGTACTGTTTTTTAAACTCTATTTTATTTGAGGTTCCTTAAGCCTCTATCTCCCTTTCAAACACCCCAATCCTAGGTAAAAGAGAAAGAAGGTGAGAAGGGAAAGGGTATGTAGACCTCCTTAGGCTTAGTTCTGGCCAGTTAGAGTCATCGTGTTCTTTGGGAAAATACCAATTTCAGTCATCAGGACTTCTAGCAGTATAGCAAACGCAGCAAGCCAAACTCGCAGCCTTCTTCCTCCTCCATATGTCTCCTTGAAGACCCTTCCTGTCTTTTGCTCTGTTAGTCCATCTCCTCCAAGCTTCTGTGCCTTCTCTCTCTGTTCTCTTGTTTCTATCAGCTAGCTGCAACTAGCAAAGGCTATGCCCCTCTCCTTGCCCCTCAAGGCTATTGCCAGCTGGCAAAATCCACACCCCTCTCCATGCTGCAAGAGGCAATTATCAGCTGTGGATGAACTAAGGCAGTCCCATATTCCACACTTTTCATTAAAACACAAACCTGTTTACATAACATAACTGAGTTTTTAAAGAAACCAAAACTTCTACTACACTTGGCTGTCCCGGTCTCATTTTGTAGACCAGGCTGGCCTCGAACTTACAGAGATCTGCCTGCCCCTGCCTCCCATAGTGCCATAGTGCCGGGATTAAAGGCATGTTCCACCATGCCTGGCTGAGTTATTATTTTAATAACTGAGCTACACTTTACTAGTGAATTCACGTGAAAGAATTATTCTACTGTTTGAATTTCTGAGTAAACTGGGCATGTGTCGTTAACATATATCTCTGTTGTCTATATCCAGTTGTTACAGGGTAGGTCACCCAAGCCCAGCAAGTGGGAGCTCCTTCAGCCGGGCAGTGGTGATGGCGTGCTGGAGCAGGCTAGTGGAGACTGTGATGACGAGGATGGCTGTGGAGGATCAGGAAGTGGAGAAGTCAAGAGGACGCTAAAGATCACAAACTGTGAGTGCCAGAACCTAGCACTGCTAGGTTTGTTCTGAAATATCAGTTTGGAAAACTGTTACAGTGAACACAACATTGCAATGGCCACGCACTCAGAGGCGGGCAGGAGTAACTGACAGTGAAAATGAGCCTGTTTTTGACTACGTAGGACATGCATTCTTGAAGTTTTTATTTATGATTTATTTATATTTTATTATGTTTATGTGGCATCATGTGGAAATGACGTGTGTGTGTAAAGAACTGCTGAGTGATGGGAGGTTTTGAGAAGGACACAGTTTTAAAGGAAAGCAATCTGTAGGACATGCTGTTCAATGTATTTTGATACATTGAACACTTGAACCAAGTGTTCAAGTACCACTAAACAGCCGAATGGGCAACGTTACAGTTTTATGTCACCATCTCTATGCTTTTATACTCTTGCCTTTTCATCAAGTTGGATTTGTATCTTATGAATATGCAGTTTTATTAATTATTTGGGAGCTTTACCCTTCTTTCCCTAGCTCTTCCTCAATCCCATGAACATTCATTTTTGAAAAACCTCAGCAAATGTTGACGTTCTTTTCTATTTTATGGATTATGAACTGTTTCTGAAATGTTTTATTAGTTGGTTTCGTTAAATCTGTCACACCCTAAGGGCAGCAACGCTGGCTCAATCTGTGCAGTGCTCACCATAGAAACACGAGGACCCACTTAAATCAGAATACTTAGTGAGCACCCAAAAACCAGGTGCAGTGGCCAGTGTCTGTACTACCAGCCCAGGCACGATGCATAGGGATTCCTGGGCAGAGACCCTGGCAAAATAGAAAAGTCAAGTGGACCACCATAAAGAATCGTGCCTGGCACCTGCCTGTCATGCACACACACAAGCATGTGCACACAAGTGCACCTATACACAGAAATGATACAACTCTTAATTTAAAAGTTTTAAAAAAGGAAAAAAGTGAAAGAAAAGCAGCTATCAAATAGTGTCCTATTTGGTCTCATTATACAAGATGAGAACAATAAGATCCATACCTTCCAGTGTCATGCACTCTGTTCATGGGGACGGGCAATGGAAGTGGTCAGTTGAGAACAAATGTCAAAGCTAATATAGCCCACACAGCTTTCAATACTCAGTTGGCTCCGATTCTACCAAGGCTGACGTGGACGTAGCGTTTCTCAGCAGTATTAGGTGCACACTGACCCTGTGCCGTGTACCGCACGCAAGAGCGCCTTCAGCTGTCACACAAAACGTACGGTGGGAGGGAAAAACCACTCAGTAATAATGCTACAAAGATTAAAATGTCAACTTCTCTTTCCTTGAAAAATCTTGCTTTATTGGCTAAATATATTTAATAAGAATGTAGAGATCAATAGTGATGCACATTAGAGAACAATTTGCATAAAGAAATGGGTTTTTAGTCAGACACAGGAATTGGCTTACAATAAAACAACTGTGGAGATCTTGCTGTCAGTGGAGTGTTTTCTACTGCTGTTGGCAGACTTAGGGATACGTATTCTAGTTGGTATGATCTGACTATTTCTTCTTGGATTTACTTTTTTAAATCTATAATCAATTTTTAAATAGTAAAACAACTTACTAATATTTAAAAGGTTCTCTTCTATATCTAGAAATTATAACAGTGATATTGAATTGAACATCACTTATTTCTTATATAGTTATATATATGACTAATTACATATAATGCATAACTAATATATATGTCCTCTATTTTATTTTAATATTAGAATTCTGAGACATTAAAGTATGTACAAGAAAGGAGCGATGTGAACAAAAACAGAATATAAAATATCTGAATAGCTGAAGTGGATTAGTTTGATATTACCTCCACATATATGTTTGTATATTTTGTGTATATGTTGTGCACATACATACAAAATTGGTATTTTTATGGCATTTTTTTTACATTCCAGTGTTATTTAGAATCTCAAGAAATTGGCCAAAATAAAATTTGGTTTGTTTCATGAGAGAAATAAATCCAGTGAAAAATATTTAAACACTGTTTTCTCATCGACCTAGGTGTCGAGGTGGCAGGGGTGAGATTTTACTGCAAAATCTTGTTTTCAATTACTGCTGTGATGGTCAGGTTGTCCTGAACAGGTCTCCCTCAAAATGGGGGAGACTGAGATGCAGATGATTGTCAGCAATTCCAGGCAAACACTGAAAAACAACCTCATCTGTTTGCTCCAGCTGGGCTTCCTGTTGGTTCTAAGTGTTTATAGCTGCTGTCGTTCAATTTTTAATAAGTGGGTAGAAAATCACAGCTGATAGACTGCTGAAATGAAGGTTGAGGAAACCTGTGACGTGTGGGCCACACTTCTAGGTTTTTACAGCATTGAAAAAAAACTAGCAATTTTTATTTTTCTCAACTTTTAGTTAATTTGGTCCATTGGTGTAAAGGTAATGGCAGCTGTGGTGGTTTTAAGAGCTGGAAAACAGTGTGTTCTAGAACGTTTCATAGGCTGTTCTGTTGCTTTGTCAACCAACAGAGCCTCACTATTTGTTCTTTATTTTCCGTGTTTACTATTGGCTCATTTGTAATCACAGAAAATCCAACTTAAAATGTTATATATGGAGATATATATGAGAAATTCTACTACTACTACCATGCATGTGAATTTAATGATTTTGTTCTCTTTATGAAATTCACAAAGTTGATAAAGATCTTCCTAATTATACTGTTCTCTGTATCTGTACATGTTTTCTTTAGGTAATTCTGGGAACTCTGTGCTTCTAAATGCAAAATTTTAGCACCAAATATTTATTTGGCACTTAGGTATCATTTTTATTTAATCACCAATGATACTAAATAATGTAATATTTTAATAGTTTATTTTGAGGTTTATTATTTGTATGTATTGTGTGAGTGTGTGTATGTATGAGTATATTTGTGTATGCATATGTGTGTTTGTGTTTGTGTGTGTGTGCGTGTGTATGCATGTGAAGGCAGGTGCTCCTGTAGAACAGGCGAGATCCACTGGAGGTGGGGTTAGGCCGTCTAACATGGTGGAGGGAACCAAATGGATCCTCTGGGCAAGAGGAAGAGGTGTCCATGTTCTTTCTTCCCAGGCCTTCTCTCCAGCCCCAAATCTGTTACATTTTACAAAATATTTCTGTTTGCAACCCTGCCTGTGGACCCTTATTAAAGGTAAACGGGAGGTTATTTTTAAGAAAAAGCCCTCTGCTGTTTTACATCTTTGAATCTGCATTTCACCTCACTCTAACCACCTACTTGTGATGTCCTCTCACGTGAAGCACTGAAGCGGGATAGATGTGTTGATAGACACAATGTAGTTCTTCCTTCTTTGCATTTAGGGCAAACCTAACATTACTAAGAACAATTTCTGTTGGACAGGGGGACATTTCTTCTTAATCTCCAAGCCTCATATTATAAAGCAATGTGCCACCGACAACAGATTATAGGCAAACTGTGGCCTGGGTAATTTTAAAATTTCATTGTAGTTCTTAAATGATATGTATTTGATAACAACGGGCAAGCTTGTTTTCATAAGATAGCTCACATTGACAAAATGAGTGTGATCTCAAGTTCACTTAGGTACTAGACATTAGAAAACAGTGAGATTTTCCATCCTCAAAGTTTTCTAAATCAATAAGCTCTAATAGATATTGATTTTTCTCAAGCAATATTATGTTGTATGTTTAGCAGAGGGTTGGTTTTTTTTAGTTTTATTGTCATTGAAAAACCCCGTAAATGCCATCAGCGTCTGTTCAGTGTGGGTACCAGAGGTGTTTCTTAGTGGCCGTATTGTAGTCCTTGGTCACCTGTCATCCAGAAGTCCACATTGACTGGGGCATTCATGGAATCAAGTCCGCCTTTGAGTCCTTGGGCCTTCATGAGTGTTCTCGTCAGAAACCCAAGGCTTTTCTATTACAAGAATTTGTTTTCTAGATGAATAGAGCTTTTGTTTATACTGTGTCTTTGATTCCTCATGTAGAATCTCATGTCAGCCTCTAACAAATGACTCTATATGATGGTACCAAAGTGACCTTGAAAGAGACTATCACATTCTCATACACAGTGAAATAAGAATGACCCTTTGTTACTTAATGAAGAAGAGGTAATGATTTACTTAGTGACCCAGGCTTGTCTCAGAGTGAGGGAAAATTCTTGGCTTCTTCAGAATGTATTATCACACAAATTACCATTGCTATAGGATCTCAGCTAGCAGTGGATATTAGGGAGAGCTCAAAGAATATGACTTGAGATTTTTTTCCAGAGCCATGAGAACTACAAATTAACCCTGCTGTAAAAATAATTTTCTGTAATTTTCTATTGTCTCTCATTTCTCAGGATTTGAACAAAGATCAGGGGTCATTTTTCATTGTAGAGCTTATGGCTTTTCCCCTTTCCAGTCTAGGCCTTTTCAGGTAGTACATGCAAACTAAGATTTGAACACTATTAAAATAGTTCCAAATATGTTGGAACATTTTTATCTAAAATTAATGCTGCCTTGTAAATGGTTAAAATAGCACAGTAGTAACTTATTTGAAAAAAATAAGAAAAATATAGTGTGAATAATTGAATTACAAGTTGTGTATTTATTTCATCTGAACAAATATTGACCTCTTCTTAAGGTTGCTTATATGGGTTTTTGAGATACAGTAAAAGTGACCTTGAATAATGACTGCATACATTGATAGACATATTATGAGTGTCTAAGTTGGGGTCAGATGAAAACTTGCATGATAAAAAGTTTTGAATTTTACAAAGAAATTCACATTTTCAATGTCCATTTAAAATTACCTAATTCAACTTTTATTTTACTGATAAAAATTTTACTAAAATTAAATAAGATGTACATCTAAGTTAAATAGGTTTAATATGAGATCACTAGGAATATTATTTTGATTGAAATGTTTTATTTTGGTTTATAAATAACTGAGACTCATCCTAGATGTGTTAATAAGATTTTCTTAACAAGATTTATGAAGTGTAATATGGATTCTTAATGAATCACATAAAACCATCTTTCATCCT